TGTCTGTGTGACGGTGTCTGTGTGAAGATGTCTGTGTGGAGATGTCTGTGTGGAGATGTCTGTGTGAAGATGTATGTGTGAAGGTGTCTGTGTGAAGGTGTCTGTGTGAAGGTGTCTGTGTGAAGGTGTCTGTGTGACGGTGTCTGTGTGAAGATGTCTGTGTGAAGATGTCTGTGTGAAGGTGTCTGTGTGACGGTGTCTGTGTGAAGATGTCTGCGTGACGGTGTCTGTGTGAAGATGTCTGTGTGAAGATGTCTGTGTGAAGATGTCTGTGTGACGGTGTCTGTGTGAAGATGTCTGTGTGAAATGTCTGTGTGAAGATGTCTGTGTGAAGATGTCTGTGTGAAGATGTCTGTGTGAAGATATCTGTGTGAAGATATCTGTGTGAAGATGTCTGTGTGACGGTGTCTGTGTGACGGTGTCTGTGTGACGGTGTCTGTGTGAAGATGTCTGTGTGAAGATGTCTTTGTGGCGGTGTCTGTGTGAAGATGTCTGTGTGACGGTGTCTGTGTGAGATGTCTGTGTGAGATGTCTGTGTGACGGTGTCTGTGTGAAGATGTCTGTGTGAAGATGTCTGTGTGAAGATGTCTGTGTGACGGTGTCTGTGTGAAGATGTCTGTGTGACGGTGTCTGTGTGAAGATGTCTGTGTGAAGATGTCTGTGTGACGGTGTCTGTGTGAAGATGTCTGTGTGACGGTGTCTGTGTGAGATGTCTGTGTGAAGATGTCTGTGTGAGATGTCTGTGTGACGGTGTCTGTGTGAAGATGTCTGTGTGAAGATGTCTGTGTGACGGTGTCTGTGTGAAGATGTCTGTGTGACGGTGTCTGTGTGAAGATGTCTGTGTGAAGATGTCTGTGTGAGATGCGCGTGCCCGCTGTGCGGGGTCCACAGACGCCGCGTCTGTGCATGTTCGAAGCTCACGGCGTCTTCTGTGGTAAGCGTCGAAGTGCTGCGTTGTGTGCGGACTAAAGTCTATGTGCTCACGGTGCATTTGTGTGAGACTGATGATCTGTTGCAGCTGTTGCTGCGTTGGCTTTGGTGCATAAGCAAAACAAATGTATATTTAAAACATCTCAACACTTTAACCATCATACTAATAATATAAAGTGTCAATAACTTATATAGATGACGTTTCGGACTTTGTGCCTTATTTATAACGCATAGACGTTCCCTTGTAAGGCGGTATCACAGTATCCTGTGTCTGCGTGCAAAGGCAACATTAACCACGTACTTACATAACATGTCTGTAAGTATACATATATTTAAGGTGCTTGCTTTCTACAGCCACCTGAACACCCTAAGTGGTCCATGTGCGCGCGACGGGGAGCGGGTGGAGGAGGTGGTGGTGTACTCACGAAGCCGTGCTTGTCCGAGATGTTATTGGTGAGCTTGAGCTTGTGGAACGAGACCACTTTGGACATCCACTGTTCGCCCGTAGCCGGGCTGTCGGGGTGGATGTACATGCGCTTGGGCATCTCGGGGTCGGCCTTGCCCGCCACCATCCAGCGAGAGTTGTGGAACTTGTAGCGGCAATCGTCGGCCGCCACGATGTCCATGAGCAGGATGTACTTGGCCTTCTTGTCCAGACCCGACACTCGCACCTTGAAGGGCGGGAACATGCGCCTGCGCGGGGGGAGACGGCGGGGGCGACACGGCGGGTACGGCGATGACAAAGCGGTGTCGTCTGCTGTAACAGCGAGACGCAGACGGCGCCCCTGAATAACCAGGCACAGCCGTGCCCTTTAAATAAACACGAATCATCAGACACACGAGTCGCAATCAGACGCAGCGATGCCCTTTCATAATCAGACACAGCTGATGTCCCTTAATCAAATGAGACATAGCCGGTGTCGCGTGCTATTATTGCTGCTCGCGCGGAGCCGTGCACAGAAAGCCCGCGCGGTTACCGTGGTCTCATTGATCAAAAGTGGCGCCGAAACCACCGCAAGTACACGGGCTGGAGAGTACACGGGCTGGAGAGTACACGGGCTGGAGAGTACACGGGCTGGAGAGTACACGGGCTGGAGAGTACACGGGCTGGAGAGTACACGGGCTGGAGAGTACACGGCTGGAGAGTACACGGGCTGGAGAGTACACGGGCTGGAGAGTACACGGGTTCGATTTATATTGTCGGACGTGTGCGTGATGATTAATATGCAAACATCTGCGCAATTAAAAGTTTGTACAATAAAATGAGTACAAATACAAATATATACAAGCACACACATGAGTACGTATATATGTGTGTGTGTGTGAAGATATCCAGCTACCTTCTCCGTGTTCAATTGCTGGTTGAATTTTAAATGTACACGTGAGGTTTTATGAGTACGTACGCATGAATGCGTGTACATAAGAGTGTATATACAAATATAGTCAATGTATATACACATACTACGTACATACACACACGACTGCGCGTTAGTGGGTACACGCGTGTGCAAACGCGGTGGACTATCAAACACTCAAGCCAGCCACACGCAGAGACGGACAGACGCGTTGTGTGTGTACACACTCGGTGTACACACACAACCGCGTGTGTACACACACACAAACTATCAGTAGCGAAAACACCAACGATCGACACAGGCACACTCGTGCGTTTGTGTGTGTAGGATGAGCAGAATGAATGCGTGTGTATGTATATGTCTAAAATGAGTGCTTGGTGCTATATATAAACATCGCCACTAGGGAGACAAAGGCGGTCGGTCGTGGTGCTGGCCACCCACCCCCTCGGGTGCCGTTGTGGCCTTCGTAGGTGCTCGCTAACAGCACCTGTCCCAACAGTCTGTGAAGGCTACATGGGGGATCTTTGTCTTTGTGTTGTGGGTCTGCGTGCGGATGAGACGAGGCCTGTCTCACCGCGGGGTCTGCGTGGTTGTCGCTCTACCCATTAGTCGTTCCGACATTTTAGCAAGCGCAACGCGATTTTTTGTTGTCCACAAAATATAGATATGCAAATGTTCTAATTAATCTTAACGAGATCCGCATTTGTTTTTCGGGCAAGCATGCGCGAGTGCACGTGTGCATCGCGCACCGAGTTGTACTTATATACATACACACACAGACATCTCCCGTGTAGCCTCGAACAGGCTGCTGGGGCAAGTGCTGTTCGCGAGCACCTACGAAGAACGGAACAGCACACGAGGGGGTGGGTGGCCGCCACCGCGCCCGGCCAACAAAGACCCGCGGAGACCATCGGCCGGCTCCCTGGCGTCTCCGTCGCCTCCTCTCCCCGCGAGTTCTCTCTCAAGTCCCCCACTGGACGATTCGCACGCGAGCGACCCGCGGCGAAGGCGGGCAGAGTGCGAAGTGTTGCGGGAGAGCGAACTCAGAGGCCGGCCAGGCCTGCGTAATGGGTGCTTCGCGAGGCCGCGTCTCGCTCGGGGTTGTGGGACGCACCCCCCCCCCCCCCCCCCGTTCTCTCTCCTCGTGTAAGCTACAAACAAAACAACCCTCGCTCAAATCCATCCCCGTGCGCTCCCGATTTTAGACCTCTGTGCTGCCTGGGAACCGCGATCTAAACCGGTCGAGTCTCGGTTTGCAACATCGGCCCAGTGGTCGCTCTGAGCTGTGCGGCGCGGGGAGGAAATGCGCGGAGAGGCGAGGGAAGGAGAGGGGGGACGAAGGGAGGAGAGAGGAGGGAGTCGCTCTTGCGTTTTTCTCACTCGAATGCCGAACGACCCTCCTCGCTCCGGAATGCGCCGGAGACACCGTGGGGAGAGACTGTGACGACACCGCGGGGAAAACACGGAGACGCCGCGGCGGAGACGTCGAGACGACACCGCGGGGAGACCGCGGCTGAGACGCGCAACGCAGCCGGGTCGGCGGTGCTGCCACCGCCGCCGTTTCTGCGCCCGAGGCGCGGCGGCTCCGCGTGAAAAGACCGCGAGAGACGGGAGGCGACTCTCGCTCGGAGCAAAATGAATGCGCGGACCTCGGTCTCGGCCTCGAGGTCCGTGCTGGGCCCCATGTCCCGCACACCTCCTCGGGCCCCGCGGAGTCTGCAGTGCGCGGGTCGCACGCCACCTCGTGATGGATGCGCAGCGACGGTGCCCGCACGTCTGTCTGTACACGCCGGGATGTGTGGACTCTCTGTACACGCCGCGATGTGGACTCTCTGTCTGTGTACGCTGTGGTGGACGCCTGCACCCCGCCGTGGTGTACACGCTTGCGATTGTGCGTGCGATTTCACACACGCTTTGACAACGTATACGCGATGAAATGGTGATGTGTGTACGCGTCGTCGTACGCGATGCATGGCGTGTGCACTGTTTACACACGGCGCCAATGTGTACACTGTGTGTGTACACAGTGTACACATTGCAATAGTGTGCGCCCGTTACAGCGACGTGCGGACACTTGCGTACACGCTCTGTCGGAGTCCGCTATGTCGGAGTCAGCGAAAGTGCGCACACGAGGACGCGTGGGGGCTTCGCAGGGTCTCTCGAACTTCGTCGCGGGACCCCAGGCCCCGTGTCCCTCCCGCTGGGGAAGGACCCCGGAATCCCCTCCCGGACACCCCTCTCGCACCCCGTCTCGGCGCTCACCTGCCGGACTTGGTGATGACCATCTCCGTGCCGAACTTGTGGAACTGGTCCCACAGATCTTTGGCTTCGAGCGTCACTTTGGGGTCATCTTCCACGGCCTCCTCCGCCTCCAGCCCCTTCAGGTGGCGCAGGTGCGCGGCCTGGTGGCTCAGCGCGGACACCGAGAGGCCGGGGTCGCCGGGCATCCCCTTCCCGAGGGAGCCGGAGAGTCCCGGTGGCAGAGCGAGCGCAGGGAAGAACGGGGGCTGCGCGGCGAGCAGGGCGCTCATGGGGAGGTCGCTCGGCCGGCCGGGGAAGAAGGGGTGGTAGGCCATTCCGCTCGCAGCTAGGGCCGGCTCTCGCATCGGGACGCACGAGAAGGAGGCCGCGCGCGCCCTCGTCCGCGGCGGGGTCGCTCGCTCGGGAAAGGGGTGCGGGGGGTCGCAGCTGCTGACGGGAGGAGCGGCGGAGGAGATGCAGGACGAGGAGGAGGACGAGGATGATGATGAGGATCGGCAGCGGTGGCGAGAAGAGATGGAAGCGCGCCCACCCGGGCTTGGCGCGGTAGCTTGGGAGGGAGGGAGGAGGAGGACTCACTCGGCGGAGGGGCTGCGGGCAGCGGACGGCGGCGCGCTGCTGCTGCTGCTGCGTCCGGCCACGAGCGCAGCGCCGATCTCTGCCGCTGCGCGAAGTCGCGGCGCCGCGCGTCGCCCCCCCCGCTCCCCCCTCGTCTTTGTGCGCTCGCTGATTGAGTGGCGCTGATTGGCTCGTTGACGCGTCCCGGGCCAATGGCGAGCGGCGCGGGGCGTGGTGCCTTGACGCGGCGGCGCCGCGCGCGTTGCGTCACCACGCGGCCGAGGTGTCGCCGCGACTTCCCCAGCGCGAGAAACAAAAAAAACTCGACGAGGGAGGAGGAGTGAGGGAGAGGGGAGGGAGGGAGGGCGAGCCGCGGGACACCCGCGGCTCCCGCACGGCCTCCGCGACGAGGACGAGGCGGTTCGCAGCCAATAGCGCCCCCCCACCCCCACCACCTACCATCTACCGCCTCCCACTCCGTGCAGGTGACCTATCCCCCTCCCCCGCCCATCTTCCCTACCCACTGCCCACCTGCGCTGTCCCCGACCCCCCACCCACCCCCCACAGGGCCCCCTTTCTCCCCGTTCCGGCGGCGCCCCCCCTCGGCGGCGCCTTCATCGCTGCTCCCCCCGCGTGCTCGGGGCCGCCGTGTTGGTGTCGCGGCGCTCCCAGGACGCGCGCGCGCGGGGCGCCGCTGCCTCTCATCCCGCCGCGCTCCCAGGACGCGCCCCCCCCCCTACTCCCTCCCATACTCCTCCCCACACAACTCCCCCCACCCCTCCCCTACTCCCCCCCACCCCACCGTCATCGCGATGGATTTGACGCCGGGTTCGTGCCACGGCGAGACGCGCGGTTCGTGCTCGTGTTTACATGGCGCGGCGTCGCGCTCCGTGCTCCGTGCGTGTTCATCACAGCCCTGCCCCTCCCGCGCTCTCCCTCCGGCGCACTCCCCCACACCCCCCACGCTCTCTGCCCAGCGCCTCGCGTCGTTATTAGCGCCCTTTAATAAGCAGTGCCGCGCCCCGGCGACGGAGAGGTCATCGCCCCCACCGCCATCCCTTCCCCCCGCGGGGTTCATGGGCCACTGCGCTGTCCGAGCGTGGGGTCACCCCCCCCCCCCTCCCGTGTCTCCTTCGGCGCGGCGCTGAAAGAAGCGCGGCGCGGGGATTAGGGCTGCAGGAGGAGGAGGCGGATGAGGGTGCCGGCCGTGCTAACAGGGTTACGGATGGGCGGCCGGGACCACAGTAGGATGAACGAGGGTGGGGAGGGGACGAGAGAGAGAGCGAGAGAGGGGAGGATGAGGGATGAGGGGCGGGGGCTCGCAGGGGGATGGCGGTGGGGGCGGTGTGGGAGAGGCCGCGGCGGGTAAAGTGATTAGCCGCTCCGACAGACCACTCGCACGCACGGCGCCAGCACGGCTGCTGCCCGGACAATGGCGGGGGCCACTCAGCCCCGCGTCGCGGCCCTGCCCCAGGCCCCCGGGCCGCCCGCACGCTGGGGGATAATGGGGGGGGGGGGGTCCTCTCCTCGAATCCCGCGAGGTCCGGAGTAGCGGGGAGGGGTGTTTCGCTAATTTGGCCAACGGGAATCCAACCTCGGCATTCAAAGTTGACGGACTCGGTCAAAACGCAGCAGCAGCAGCTGCGGCAGAGGGACGAGAATCAATGTCGCTCCGCTCTCGGGGCCTCGTGTCTCGCGCGGTGCCCGCCGCGCTGAAAGTGGCCGTGAGGCGGCGAGCGCAGCAGCGTGGGAGAGGCAGCGAGGGTGCTTTGTGTGTGAGATTTTGTCGCCGCGGAGGAGAGGGTGGAGGACGCTGCCCGCGACGCTCGCCGCGTAATCCACGGCGCCGCGGCGCTCACAATGCCCTTAATCTGGCCGCTTAATTTAACAACAAAAAAGGAGTTCGGAAAAATAATGAACGTGACGTCGTCATTAGCGCTGCGTGACCGGACCGAGGCGAAGCGGGGACGAGTGGACGCGACCCGCGGCGGCGACGCGGCGTCTGGGAGTCGAGCGGCGGCGGGAGGGAGGGGAGAGGGATGGGAGAGGGAGGGGAGAGGGATTAACAGCTCTTTCCCCCTAGCCTTCGGCAGGTGAGCGCGGCGCGGTGAGTCGTGGCGCCGGGCCGCGCCGCGCTCCGCAGGAGAGGAGCGCCACGACCTCCTCCACCGAGGAGGGGACGGGGACGCTGCGGGGGAGGAGGAGGGGGAGGAGGAGGGCGCGGGGGCCACGAGGAGATAAGGAGGCCGGCAGGGACCGGCGGGGTGGGGCGAGTGGCTCGAGTGCCGTTCGCGGCGCCTCCCTCCCTAATTGTGAGTAAACATGATTGTGAGTAAACATGATTGTAAGTAAACATGCGCGGCTGTGTGGGGGGGGTGGGGTTGGGGAGCTAGTGGGGGAGGGGGATGCGAGGACCGGGGACCCGGCGATCTGCTGCACAGACCCCTGCGATAATGAGGAGGAGGTGACCGGTGTCGAGGCTCGTTTTAGTGGCCGTAAATACTCTAACCACCAAGTGCAGGACTCGGCGCACAAAGGGATCGAGATAGGGGAGGGGGAGGCTGAGGGGAGGGGGGTTAGCATTTGAAAGCAGATTAAGGCGGCGCCTCCCGGCTCAGCCATTCAAACCCCCGCGCCGCGGCCTCTACTCCGACTTCTTATCTCAAGTGTGAGGCGCAGAACAAACGCAAAGTTTGCTGTGCACACAGAGACAATCCGCGCGGATTACACGGCGCGGCCGCGCAGATAGCGGCGCGGCGATACGCGGCGCCCCGCCCGCCCGGAGCAATCAGCCGGGGTGCAGGGCGCTGGGTGCGGGGTCCCGGTGCGCGCTGCTGGATGCAGGGCGCGGTGAGCAGGGCGAACGTGCGGATGAGCGGGGGTCGCTGTGGGCGTTTGGCAGAGCGGGGTGGGGGGTGTCTCTCATGGGGGTCTCCCGCTGGGGTAGCGGGAAGAGACCTCGAGACCCCCCGCTGTGGGTGTCTCGGGGGTGCGCGCCACTGCGGGAGGTGACGGAGGCATCGCAGCGATTTCACCGAAAATCGGAAAAATTGTGGCCGTGCGCGTCTCTACGAGCCCCGGGCAAACACGCGTGCGTAGAGTGTGTATTAAAGGGCACCCAGGCTGGCACACGCGCCTGTCGGCAGCGGTTACGTTTGTTTATTTATGTCGATGTGTGCGGGTTCCGTTTGTTGGCGCAGGGAGACGGTAGCGCAGTGGTTTACGCAGTGTGCGACGAGCCCGGCTTCCTGGGTTCGATTCCGGGTCACAGTGAAAATCAGTCTACGGTTCTGGCACACTTCTTGTAGGTCCACTCAGCCTTAAATGATTAGCTGACGCGGGTGTGTGAACAGTAGCACTGGCGGTCGAGCGCGTGTTACCGTGTCCTGCGTTACGCGGTGGAGACCTTGATAGCTGCTCAATAACAACACTTACCCTCGCAGTCTGAATGCTTAGACGGGGGGTCTTTGCCTTTGTATGTGCATGTGTGTGCATGTGTGTGCATATTCACTCCTCGTCCAACCTCTAACACTAGCACGGACGCCGTTGTGGCGCAGCTGCCTAATTGGTGACAAATATGCTTCCGTTGTGTTCAATATACATTTGTGTTGAGTCTAAGTGAATGTTAATAATTGTATATCACCGTGTAGGTCGTTTGACGATACTTCACAATGCCGGTCAGTGCGAATTAATGAAGGCTTAGGACCGTTCACATATCACTTACCACTGATGATAGCCGTGACCAGGATTCGGAACCGTAGTTGCCGGGTTCGTATAGACAAGTGCGCTAACCACTGCGCCACCGCTCCCGAATGCGTGCATGTATTAAAATACCCAACATTCTGGCGTCGCTGTGGGGAGAATAAAGGTTAAAATAATTATGATAAATAATCAACATTACATTGCGATACAGATGAGCGGAGTATATCCCATCCTACACATACATATAACTGTCTCTGCACATCGAAAATAAAAGCTTATTTGCTTTACCCATTCACGTAGCCTACATGGCCTTTTGGGAGTAAATTTTGTTCAGCAGCACCTTTTTAATACAATAATTTTAATAAACTTATGAATTAAATGTATATATTATTATATATCGAAAGATTTCACCTGTAAAACCCATTTAGATGGGATTTGCGCGGGTGTCCAGGTGTCAGCTTGCACACGCATCGTAACCACGTGATCACATATTGCAAACCACGTGATGACACGTGTACACACACACATACAAGCACAGCGCGTACGCCGCTTGCGTGTACAATCACACAGGTGTGTGCGATTGTGCGCGAGTGTGTTGTTCCTGTGGGGAGCGGTGGCGCAGTGCTTAGCGACCGAAGTTAGATTCCCACTCACGGTTACCAAACAATCATTGACGAATATCCCAACCGGTTTCGTGCCTCCACTAGGTCTACTCGGCCTTTAATCAGTGCCTGTTGCGTTGTGTACACATCAGCAATGGAGAGACAAATGCAGCCGGGCGTAAGTTCTGATCACACCACTCCCTGGCGTGTGCTGCTGCGAACGTAATGGGTATTCGCTGACAGCACTTGCCCCAACAATCTATATGGGCAAACGGGGGCTCTTTGTCTTTGTTGCAGGCTATAACCAAATGACTAAGCGACATCTCCTTCACGAATCCGTCTCTGCGCGTAAACAACGGGAGTCGTGCGATCGCACGCATCCCAGCATCAGCACCTTTTCAGCAGCATTGATTCAGCACGATCAACACTCTCATCAGCAGTTAAGGCTATGGTGGGGGGGGGGGGTGTAATCTCTGTCCGGCTCTCCGTGTTGACCCCGCGTGTAAATAGTCACCGCGCCGGCGTCAGGCGCCTCGGAGGCCGGAGCCGCGCCGCGTCCAATTCTGATACAGACGATTGCGCGTGTGGGCGCGAGCCCCCGCGAGGGTGACCCCCCCCCCCATTCACCCCCACCACTCACCCTCCATACCCACCCCTCACCACACCCCTCACCACCCACCCCAC